ACTAATTAAAATGAAAAATTATGTAAAAAGTACTTTAACACACAGAAAAGATGAATACATTTGGCACAAATATTTCTTCCTTACTTTTATCAACTATTACTAACCTAACTACATCTACTATATAATAATACTAACTACAGTATTCTGATGAAATAAACTAATTCCTACCAAAAGATTTCTGAAGTTATAAAGAAACCATTATAAATTTTTCCCAACTTAAAAAATTATAATATATGAAACACAGTTGGCAAAACTTTATAACTTCAGTGTTAGGATGCACTCAATATAAATATTTATACAAAGCTACAATGTTGAGCACAATAAATTTTAATTTCAATTTCTGTATGACTCTGATCCAATTTCATAAAATGTAAGTACATTAATTATGAATTACAATTCAGTTTTTTTAAATAATGTAATTTTGTTTGAGCTACTTACTGAAGGCTACTTTTTACCATAATTAATTATTCTTAGATTATTTAAAACAGTGCAGAATGTTTTAGGTTAATGTTGATTTAACAAATATGCTCTAAGAAAATAGAACACATCTTTCTTGTTCAAGAAGCATACTATAAAGTGATATTCTGACAGAAAAATTTGTTAACTGAAGAAGAGACTGGTATCACTTTGGCTCAAAACATGTTGAACCTTTTCCATTAAACCAATACCTACACAAATTTAAATTTTGCTTGACTTTAAAATTGAAGTTTGTGTGAAGAGAATAGAAATGCAACTTCAAGTAAATTGATCTTTATTTAATAATGTATATGCTATCCTGGGATAATTCTATAAATTGAATTAAAAATACCCTTTAATTTTATAACGAAATACAATCAAACTGATAAGAAGATATCTAATAAAATTTTAAAATTCTTATTTAATAAAAAAATATTTTCAATAAGTTTTAATAAATTTTGTGAAAATTTAAATATTATTTATATTTTTAATATGATACATTAATTATTCTACATAATAATTTAAAACCTGAACAATAAAGGAGTTTGTATATATATATAATAGCATAATCCAAAAATGGAAGTAGGACACTTTTTAATTTCATTATATATATATAGAGAGAGGGGGAGATATTATAGGTAAATATTAGACATTTAATAATAGACACAATTTGACACTTCAAATAAAAAACATATTCCTAATCATCTCATGGCAATGAGTAACATGACGGACTGCTTTCTTAATTGATATTGGAAGTATCATCCCATTAATATCACCCTGCACACAGACTGAAGGTTACATTTGTACTAATATAATAAGTACAATACACATCTCAATAATACATTAATATTTAAACTAGAAGTGTAGTATATTCTATGTGCTAATAGAACAACAGGTAAATATTTACTATTTATAATGTGAGGACATTTATTATGTAGCAAAGACTGTAAGCAAACATTTAACTACAGATTACAGTTATTGAAGATGTATAGCTATGAAAGATGAATCACATTTTGTACACCTTATAACTGTAAAATAAATTATTGAACACTTGGCTCGTTAAATTAAAGGGAAATTTCAAGTGAACATTTATCACTTGATCTGTGGTTAAATTCAATGATAAAAAATATACAATTTCTTCACTGTATCAGTCATATTCAGGAAAGCATAATTATCATATTTCTAATATTCTAATTAAAAATTTAAATTCTTTGCATGTAATTTTGTTCTGTTTCTTCTAAATTTTGGTTTCATTTCATGGATTTAAAACAACTTCATTCCTCTAGTTTGTAAGAATTTATTTTATTCTAACCAGTTATTTTTAGTTTTCTTTACTTTCCCTCCTGATTTCAGCTTTCTGCTGGAATGTAAATTTTGTATAATGTAGATGCAAATTCTCAATGTGTTTCAGAAGCAGTATTTAAGCTGTGTTTCAAGAGTTCAAGGGTGGTAGTAGCGGACTTTGTTCCGATGTTTAAGCTGCGAGTTTAAAATTAGCTAGCAGATGTGTTTCTCTAGTTTAGTGATCGATGCCTTTCAGTTTATACTGTTATTTCTCGGATTGGCTTTTCCGTGTGCTGTCAATTTAGTGTTAATTTAAGATAAGGAGCCAGTCACTAGATTATATTAATTTACTAGTAATTTGTTACATTCTTATTTTCTATTATGTAGCCATAAGTGTTTGTGATTTGTGAGCATGAAGTGGGGGCATATGGTTTAATTTAGTTTTAAATAAAAAGGTTATTTAAACCTTATTCTACAGTAGTTATTCTTAAAGACATAGCGAGGATTCGCTACTTAGTTTTCAACATAGAGTTCAGGGTGTGTGCTACCAAAGAATACCCACAGACTCTATAAGTTAAAGGTTTGACAATTAAAAAAAAAAAATGTTTTACTTTAAATGCTAAAGAGTATTCTCTGAATTTGTCCATGTTGAATTGTATTTTACAAAAATTATATTATAGCTTAGAAAAGCAATCAGATACTTTGTACTTATCTGATTGCTTTTCTAAGCTATAATATAATTTTTGTAAAATAAGCAAAGTACTTTTGTAAAATAAGTAAAGTATAATAAGCAAAGTACTGTACAGTATGGGGTCCAATTTCTAATCCTAAATTATTCAAATTTTTTCCCGTTTCATAGACCTATAAGTAATTTTTCCATGTTATAGTTTTGCTACTTATCTTCTGAAAAGGGAAACTGAAACACAACTAGCATAGATTACTGTTAAACAATTTACTTAAAAAATCTATCAAATTACACACAGTCGTTCTTAGCAGCATTAAGGAAAAAAAAAAAAAAAAAAAAAAAAAAACATAAAGATATCCTAACTTTAGAATGACAAAATTTTAAAAATATTTTTAGTCTCCATTTAAAATCATGATATCCCTTACAATACTATTTAATAATTTTGCACATTGTTTAATAGATACTATATTGTATGATATTATATATTACTATGTTATATATTATATGATTACATTATAGTAATATGAAGAAAAATTACTATATTCTCAGAAAGTGCTTGGTGAAAATTAAGCTGACTTCACAATCTCAGTAGCACAGAGGAAAGTAAAATATCACATTTTTAAGCTCAAAGTTTCTTAAATTAAATTGAAACCTACTTTTATACTTTATAATAATTATACCTTTTCCAAATTAAAAATTTAGTTTCAGAAATAAAAAATCCTTTCATTAGAAACATTTAATTAAATAAAAAATACTAATGATTTATGAAAAAAATGATAAAAAAACTTTATAATCACATTAGTAACTATTACAAAAGTGTAGTATAAACTAATATCTATATAATATAAATATATACACACAACACATATACCGTGCTAAGGATTTAGAAACATTAAAAGGATAAAAATGTTTTCCTAAGTCTTCAGAAATTTAACATTGAATAATTAAAACTTGTTGCAAGCTTAGCAGATGCGTTTATCAAAATATACATATGAATGTTTTCTGGGAGCAAGCAATATAATGCCATTAGAAACATCTTTTACCATTACAATAGTCTATTAAAAGTTGTCAATTAGATATATTATAAATCACGAAAAGTAGATGTAATATGAATTGCAGTCAACTAAGAGGCATTATTTTAAAAAAATTACAGAATAGATTCTTTAAAAACATACAATGCTTTAAATTTTCTGAATTGGTCTGTAACATATTGTCTTAATTTGAAAAATTAAAGGATAATGGATTATGAAACTGTAATATCTCTGGAAATGCAATATGCTAAATTATGTGGATGATAAATATCCTGGGACCATTGAGACAGTGATAATAAAAAAATGGGAAGACTAAGCTAAAGATGTTTCTAATGTCAGAGACAGTCAAATACCAAGAGTACATAATGCATCAGAAATATATTGTGAATATTTTTGGCTTTCATTTTCAGTACTGTACAGTAACTTATACTCATCTCTGAAGATTATAGATAGTTAATCTTTAATCTAATTATATATTATATCAAATATATGTTACCGTGAAAGACCGAAATTGCAGAATGTCGACTTTCACCGGAGAATGTCAACATTCACCAAATATGTCGGCGAAAGATTGAATATTGCATTACATTCTTGTACATTCGGACCTTCACCAGTGTATGTCAACAATCACAGATATGCCCTGGTGTAGGTCGAAAAAAGAGGAGTATATGTACACGCTGTCATTGCAAAAGAAAGTATTCCACAAATAAATGCAATTGTAAAAGCAAGGGTGTCTTGTGCAATTCAAAGTGTCATAATAGTTTAAGTTGTTGCAATAAATAACATTTGAATCACATAATTTAATAAGTTTTAAACTTCTATGATTTTCCTTTCTCATTTTGAATGTACTGTGAGTTTTAAGTTCTTATATTCTGAAGTTCTTTTTTTAAGTCTCAAGTACGTTTTTTCGCGACTGAATTACGGAAAAGAAAATATAATATTCTTATATGTTCAACATTCACCATTAGTACATGGTGAATGTCGACATTTACCGGTGTAAGTCAGAAATAAGAGTATTTGGAAAATATTTCGGACAAACACCAAGCAACTATGTGAATGTTGACATTCACCTGTGAAAGTTGACATGCTCCAAATTTTGGTGTTTCACCGTAACATATATACAAGTCAAATTTTTTTTTTTTTTTGCTTTTTAAGTTCTGTAAAAATAAATTATAAAATGCAATAAATAAAGCAAAAGTCCATTAAGTTTGGCTTCCACAAAGAATTAATAAAATATGTTAAAACTGAGTGACATTATTCTGTTCTGTTTTTGGCTTTCATTTTCACTAATGAACAGTAAAATCTACTCATCTTTGAAAATTATAGATCACTAAATCTTTAAACTAATCAAATACTATATCACATATATTGCAAGTCACAGCTATTTTGCTTTTTAAGTTCTGTAAAACTGCATTAAAATGAAACAAATGAAGCAAAAATCCATTAAGATCAGCTTCCAGAAAGAATAAATAAAATATGATAAAAAATTGAGTAAAATCGAGTGACATTGTTCTGTTCAACTGAGCATTATCTGTACGATAAAACAAAAGAGAATGTCATATTTATTACAATTCTACATAAATAATACCCAGTTACAGTTGCGTACTATATAGCTCTTTTTTTGCATCATGGATATTAGTCTCATCTCCATGATTATCTGTTATCTCATAAATTCTGCCAAGTTCCATGGCCCCCCCAAAGCAAACATGACGCTTATTTTTAGTTACACGGATCGACTGCCACCACAATCTGAGATCAGGAACAGCAGACCTTGCTGTTACAATAACAGCCAAAATGTTTTTCAGGAGAAACAATGTAACATCATGATCATATAAAGTCCAAAGATACACACGGATAACAAAGTATGGTATGTTAACCAAACCAAGATGCAGACCCTTGTACAATAACTGCAATCCCAAAGAACGTGCCTGAGCACCAAACTGTGATAAACTTAGCTTATACAGTGTCATAGTAGGAAGAATGAAATTTATACAGGAAAGCACAAGAACCGCATTTTCTAACTCGTAAGTTAGTACTATTTTTGACTGTGTTGGGAAAAGTATACCTAAAAATGTAACACTGTCAAAAATTTCAAACACTGTAGAAGTAATGAGAAAGTAAATATAAGCTTGGTGATCAGAATGTGGCTCAGCATTGTTATGTGTTTCTACAAGTAGCAAGAAAACAACTGCAGCAGATGCTATAATAACTTTCAACAATTGGGGACCAAATGCTGAATCAGCGTCCAAGGACTGAGCTACATCAAGTTTGAACAATAAAACAACTTTTGCTGTTAATAAAGATGAATAAAAGAACCAGACAACATATACAAGAGGTAATGAGCCAGTCTTTGAAGCTGACACTGTAGATGAACTTTTCTCACCAGTGACTTCAGGTTTTCTTTGTCTTCCCTGCACGGAGAAAAAATCATATCTAAATAAATATTAATTAAAAATATTAAAATACTTTTATAATGAACATCTGAGTATGCATAATTTAAGACAAACAATTTAAATAGTTTAAACAATAATTAAATCCAAAAAATTATGTTACAGATTTATAACCAGAAATTTGATATATAATTTTCAGTTCTACCAATAACCATTTTCATTATACAGTCAAAAGTTGTTAATCCAGACTCATCGGGACTTCGGCGATTCCGGATTATAGATCATCAGTTTAAATCTGGTAAGATGGCATGCAGAAATTATAATATTAAAAATATGAAACTGTAATTTATGAAATAAAAAAACAATTATGATCTAAAGGGTATCAAAATTTACAACACAACCAACAACAACAACAACAAAAAAAAAAAAAAAAAAAAAAAAAAAAAAAAAAGCTCAATATTTATTTGTTTACTTTATTAAACATTTCTTTCAATGTAAGTTGTTTAAGCTGCTTCGTTTTATGTGATAATACTTTCTCTTTAATTCTATAAACAGACATAAATTCTTGTTCAGTTACAAAGTTCCGCTGTTCAAGTCCTATAATTGCTGTGTCGAGAATACCGACTAATTTGTCATCTGAAATTTTTTCGTTTTCAATAACCTCTGTGTCACTTTCTTCGCTATCGGAAGCGAATTATAATGACGAGGAATTTTATTTAAATCATATCAAAGATGGAGTACATCAAGATGAATTACTACATTTAGTAAGGAATTACAGTCAAAAGTCATTAATTCGGAAACCAATAATCCGGACCTCAAAGATACAAACTTTCTGCGCATGCATCGCGTTGACGCGAGCGCATAGGTGTTTAGCGTGGGCATAAGACCTTTACAGCTGCGAATATGCGTGTGTGCATGGGCATAATACGTTTACGCATGCGCGTTTAATGTTTAAGGGACGGTATAAGCTAAAATTATCTAATTATCTATTTCAGTTAATGTTGCAGATAGCGTTGTTCCTTAATCTTCGAATTGGATCTGGCTTATTATTTTTTTGCAGACTGTTAGAGCAATTCTATAGAAGTAAGCTTGAACTTTCGATTATGTCAAATAGAATTTCCGATGCTGGAGCTCCCAAAGGATCTACAAAGCGAAATTATGTTTCAATGTCCATCAAACAAAAAGTGGAATTGCTGCAAAAAATGGATAAAGGCATAATCCTTTGTTCTCAACCATTCCGAAATCTGTTTATCAATTTCACGCTGCTCTGCAGGGGGAGGAAAACGACGCGGCGTGCAATGAATTGGAAGTTGATCTGTCTTCAGGCAGATCAACCTTAAAAATTGTTGTCTTCAGGCAGATCAACAATTTTTCCTTATCTTCAGGGCAGATGTTTTTATTTTATTTGGCTTATAATTCCTTACTAAATGTAGTATTTCATCTCGATGTACTCCGTCTTTGATATGATTTAAATCAAGTTCCTCGTCGTTAAAATTCGCTTCTGATAGTGAAGAAAGTGACACAGAGGTTATTGAAAACGAAAAAATTTCGATTGACAAATTAGTCGGTATTCTTGACACAGCAATTATAGGACTTGAACAGCGGAACTTTGTAACTAAACAAGAAATTATGTCTGTTTAATAGAAATTAAAGAGAAAGTATTATCACATGAAACGAAGCAACTTAAGCAACTTACATTGAAAGAGATGTTTAATAAAGTAAACAAATGACTATTAAGCTTTTTCTTTTTGTAAATTTTGATACCCTTTAGATCATAATTGTTCTTTATTTCATAAATTACAGTTTCATATTTTTAATTTTATAATTTCTGCATGCCATCTTACCAGATTTAAACTGATGGATCTATAATCCGGAATTGCCGAAGTCCCTGTTACATCTAAACTCTGGAATATCAGCACCACTACATCTAAACTCCGAACTATCAGCACCATTACATCTAAACTCAAGAATAATCCTGCATAAGAACGTAGTTAGAACTCTGAATCTGAACTCGAATGACTGTTAGATGGAGAGTGCGTATTTTTCTGTAACCTAATAATTGTAATAAAATGTATAAATGTATCTAAATATAATATCTTTATTTATACAGAAGTGTCAGTCTTTATGCAAAAGCTTGGAATTATTTAGATATTTCATCGAATAAGAATTTGGAATGGAACAAGCTCAGCTCCCGGATGAAAGAAAAGATAAGAGATCTTTTTTACCTTTTAGAATTCTATTGAGAGACACAACAATTTTTTTGGCATCCCTGCCGGGACACAAACCCGGGGGAAAAAAGGGGAATCCTTATCAACGACAATCATGAGAATGGAAATCTCTGTCTGTTTCAAGAAAATCCGGAAGAGATTCATATGCTGTTAGGAGCGGACACCGCAGCACAATTGTTCACTGAAAGAACTGAACATTTTGCGGGGGATTACGTAGCTTTTGAGATCAAGTTAGGCTGGACTTTAATGGGCAAGATTAAAGAGAATGCGAATACGTCGAGTTCCCTGTCCGTTCTTTCTTTATCCTTACATGTTTCCAATACAAATTTGTCCAATCTTTGGCGTTAGACACCTTGGGGATTTCAAGCTAGGAAAACAAAATGAAAAGTTGGAAGAAGAAACACGAAAACATTTCTTAAAAAGTGTAAAACGAGATAGCTCAGGGAGATATGAAGTAACCTTACCCTTTATTTTAGATAAATCCGTCTTATCCAGTAACCGTACTATGGCAGAAAGACACCTCGTCAAAACCGAAAGTAAACTAATTAGCACACGCAGAAGAAAAGATTACGAAGAAATATTTGATGAGTGGGAAGCGAAGGACATTATTGAGGTAGTAACTGAGGAAAAGGAAGAAGGAGTGCACTACTTGTCACACAGACCTGTAATAAAAGAGTCTACTAAAACTACAAAGATATGACCTGTTTTCAATGCATCTGCACGTTCTAAGAATTCACCCTCTCTCAATGATTGTTTGAGTAAAGGACTAAATTTAATAGAAATTATTCCACGTATATTGAATCGTTTTCGAAAATATCGCATAAAAGTGTCATCTGACATCAAAAAGGCTTTCTGTCAAATCAAAATAGCAGAAAAGGATAGAGATTTTTTAAGGTTTCTATAGTTCGATAATCAACATAAGTTTAAAATTTACAGACATAACCGAGTTGTTTTTGGACTCACATCAAGTCCGTTTCTGCTAGCCGATACACTTAGTCACCTTTTGACTACAGTCCCAGAAAAGTTTGTAGAAACTTCTAATATTTTGAAGGATTCATTTTACCTCGATAATTCGTTAATTAGCTTGAATCAAGTAGCTGAAGCTGAAAATTTCGTTCAAGAAGCAAGATTGATTTTGCCTTCAGGGCATTTCAATTTGAGATGTTGGCGATCAAATTTTCGCATTGACGTGATCGATGAGATAGAGAATAAGACGAAAGTTGTCCCAGTATTAGGCTTAGTATGGGATTTAGAAAAAGATTGTTTGAGTTGCAAATTCGAAGAAACATTTAACTTGAGGGAACCTATTACCAAAAGAAAAGTTTTGTCAATTACCCAGAAAATTTTTGATCCCATTGGCTTTACTGCACCGATAACTGCAATTCCTAAACTAATTTTGCAAGAAACCTGGAACCAGAAGATTAAGTGGGATGAAGAGCTTCCTCTTCACCTAAGTGAGCAGTTTGGGACTTGGTTGAACCAATTGCCTCTGCTATCTCAGATTGAAATTCCTCGTTGGTTAAATATTGATTACAAAAATGAAGATACCGTAGTGCTCCACATTTTTTCGGATGCTAGTAAAAGAGCCTATGCCACATGTGCATTTTTAAGAGCTGAAACCATCGAAGGTGTAAAAGCTCAGTTAGTAAGCGCGAGAAGTCGAACAGCCCCTATTAAGGAACTTACGATTCCATGACTTGAACTTCTTACCTGTCTGATAGGTGCCAGGCTTGGCAAAACAATTCTGTCAGATTTGAAACTTAAGAATTGTAGAACAGTGTTCTGGAGTGATTCTTCTACAGCTTTGGGGTGGATAAGAAGAGATCAAGCATGGGGTACATTTGTTCACAATCGAGTACAAGAAATAAGATCGCTTACCAGAATATCTGACTGGAGACATGTACCTGGAAGTTTACCCAGCGGATCTCCCATTGAGAGGATGTACTATTGAGCAATTACAGAAATCGGCATGGTGGGAGGGCCCATCGTGGCTTTACCTACCAGAAGATGAGTGGCCCCATGTAGAAGAAAAGCCTGATGAAGAACTTATAAACAAAGAAAAAAGGAAAACGATTCTGACTCTTCTAGATCATAGAGACAATTTGGACCGGTACTACAAATACTTCTCTTCATATAGAAAAACCGTGAGAATGATCGCTTGGATTTTCAGGTTTTATCACAATTTAAAGAACAAAGATAAAAACCTCACTCCTGATGTCTCAGTTGATGAATTGGAAAATGCTGAAAAGGCACTTTGTAGATTGGTACAGAAAGAGTCATTTACAGGCATAAACGATCCCACTATTCGTGCACTGAGACCAATCGTAGACCAAAATGGAATTTTAAGAGCCAAAACGAACGTCCTACAGCGTCAAGATAATGAAAATTTCCAATATCCTATCATTTTACCTTCAAAACATATTCTTGTTGAGAGACTAATTTACGAGAAACATCTAGAACTCCAGCATGCTGGTGTCAGCACTTTAATGACAAATCTTAGAGAAAACTTTTGGATATTAAAAATCCAGGAAAAGTATTCGAAATATTATCAGAAAATGTGTAAGATGTAAAAGATTTGTTGCACAAAGAGTGGAAGTCGAGCCAGGATTTCCACCCGAAGACCGAGTCAGAGAAGGGTCTTCTCTATCTCCGTGAGGGGTCTAAAGAGTGGATATTATTGAATACGTGTGCCATTTATAGAGCCATTCACCTCGAACTAGTTACTTCTCTATCTACGGAAACTTTCATCCAATCTTTACGTAGATTCATTGCCAGAAGAGGTAGACCTTATGTGATATATTCTGAAAACGGAACTAATTTTGTAGGGACTAACAGTGTTCTTAAGAAAGTTAATTGGAATGCCCTATGTTCAGCTGCTTCTATCCAAAGGATACGATGGAAGTTCAACCCTCCGACCACCGCCTGGTGGGGAGGTTGGTGGGAGAGGCTTGTGCGAATGGTGAAAGAAAATTTAAGAAGAGTGTTAGGTCGAACGTCCTCAAATTATGAAGAATTATATACTATATTATGTGACTGTGAACAAGTGATTAATTCACGACCTATCACATACGTATCAGAGGATAATCAAGATCCATCACCACTGACCCCTATGATGTTCCTGCAAGAATTGCCGTCATCAGGCATTCCTGATATGGACTACGTTGATTCCAAAGAACTAAACCGCCGAGCCAAATAACGACAGAGAATAAGACATGATCTACGAAACAGATTTTGTAATGAATATCTTGGTCAGTTGAGACAACAGGCAATAAAGAAGAGAAAATTTCAAAAGTTGCAAGTAGGCGATGTCGTTCTATTGGAAGACAGCCAGACATGACGCATACATTGGCCTTTAGCCAAGATAGTCGAGCTTTTCTCCAGTAAAGACGGAATAGTTAGACTAGCGAGGGTCAAGACAAGAAATGGAATTCTGCTTCGTCCAGTGCCCCGGCTTTTCCCGTTGGAGATCTCTACTTCCGAATCCATTGGCCCTCTGTTCCCCGACAGAGCACCTCGAGATAGAAACGACCATGCAGCTGGTCAGGCTGATCAGGCTGCTAGTATTCCAGACCTGCCTCAAGTCCTCGAGTGATGACCAGAGCTGGACGAGTTGTTCGGCCTCCTCATCGAATGGACCTGTGTGTATTGAGTTCCTCCGCATCATCGGATCTCAATGGTAGGAGGTGATGTTACATCTAAACTCCGGACTATCAGCGCCACCACATCTAAACTCCGAACTATCAGCACCATTATATCTAAACTCGAGAATAATCCTGCGTAAGAACGTAGTTAGAACTCTGAATCCAAACTCAAATGACTGTTAGATGGAGAGCGCGTAATTTTTCTGTAACCTAATAATTGTATATAAAATGTATAAATGTATCTAAATATAATATCTTCATTTATACAGAAGTGTCAGTCTTTATGCAAAAGCTTGGAACCACTGTTTCGACTGTTCCTTTGGTCTCTGGTGTGTACCAGTGAATCCATGTTTCGTCAACGGTCATGAAACGACGCAGAAACTGCTTCGGATTGCGCTTAAACAGTGTCAAACACTGCTCTGAAGTGGTCTCACGGATGCGTTTGTTGTCCGGAGTGAGCAAATGTAGCACCCATCGATCCGACAGCTTTCTGATGCCCAATATTTCATGCAGGATATGACCCATGCAATTTTTTGAGATGCCTACTGTTTCAGCTATCACGCGCACCTTCAATCGGCAGTCTGCCAATACGAGATCGTGAACTTTTGTCATGTTATCCTCCGTGGTAGCCATTTTTGGGGCACCTGGGTGTGGCTCATCAAAAACTGACGTGCGACCACGTTGAAACTCGTTAAACCAATTTTTGACGGTCGCCATTGAAGGAGAAGAGTCACCGTACACAGCATTCAAGCACTCTTTGATTTCGCTGCACGATTTCCCTTCCAAAAACAAGAATCGAATCACGGACCGATACTGCTCTTTTCCCATTTTTCTAAAATCCGCGGACACGCCCGCTTCTACACGTGGTCAAAACAAAACTACAAATCCAATATGTCTGAAATTTTTGACAGTAGCCATCTACAAGGATGTACTACACGATAATAAATTTCTCTTACGATAGTGGTGCCATCGAGCGGTGAGGCTAAGTACTTATCGGAAAAAGGGAGTCTTTACTCAGGAATAATAACTAACATGTGTAATCAAGGTTACACGAAACCCAGTGTGTTTGGAGAAGATTTTTCCATTTTTGGCGAAAAATCGCTTAGTTTGGCGTCTTTTCTTTAATAGGCAAAAATGATCGACAGGATTTTCCATAAGTACTTTTTTTTCCGTACAGTTTTGCCATTGCTCGCTTTGAAATTGTTCAATTTGTTAATCAAAAATTCGTTAAAGTGTTACAAAACTAGAAATGGATAATAAAACAAATTCCAAATTCAGGCTTCCAGATGCTTCTATTTGAGTGAAGGACTATGTTATTCTAAATTTGAAGTCCCTCGGTACCTTAATTTTTTCACAGTATGGGGAAACATACATACATATACACATACAATATAGGGCAATAATATTTGGTAGCAACAATTCCAAAAGTAATTTGCCGTTTATAGTGAATTGAGCAAAATGCCAAAACGAAATTAGTAGGCCTTCTGAGTTAACGCTCCTTTGCGTTATTACTCCTAATAATTTAAAATTAAAGAGGAAGATAAGAAGCGAGTTTTGCTCTATTCAAGCATGAAATTATCCGATAATGGTCAAATAAAATTTACACAGATTTAAAATTGATTAAAAATAAAATTTAATTTAAACTTAAATTGAAAACAAAAAATCTTTCATGCAGATTCGCTTAAAACTGAGATACAGCAATAACCTTGCATAGCCTGGCTAATTGGTCCACCATTTACCCAGACTATTTAAAATCGGACTAACTGAAAAATTAATACATACAGAATATGGTAACAGGTTTAACAAAATCTTTTCTCCCCTTCCTGTTTTTCAATAAATAAAATGCAATTTAAAAATTCAAATTTCTTTATTATGAATGATTTTTAAAAACTCATATTTATGGCAACTTCATTGCCTAGAAATTTTCAGTATCGATGTTTAGAGATGTTTCTTTGCCCTATTCACTTTAGGTCAATTCTCTATAGCAACTAACTGTATAGTTTATTGTTCAGCTTTAAAATACAATCATATTACATGCTCTGACAAGGTTTCAATCATTCCAGTAAATTTTTGCAACTCTTCGGCTTTAATAATGATGATAATGATAGTTATTCAATAGTGGCCCATAGACAGCTGTTGGAGTTCAAGAACGAGGCCTTAGCATAGGTATATACATAAGCAATGGGCAACCACAGAAAAAACTGAAATATACATTGTATTGCATAACTTAAAAATCTTACAAAAAGAGTCCTGATTATATAATGACTTTTTTTTATCTTTCGTTTATTACTCTGACTTTATTTAATGTGTTGTATGCATTTTGAAAATATTATACGCAAATAATGTTCTCAAAAATTTACGTTACTGATACATAAAAACAAGAATCCTAGCATGAAGATATTTTCGTTAAATTTTAATTATATTCTTCATAAATAACATTACCGCTTATTATGAAGCGAGCCACACGCGGCTCTTCAGTTTGCTGGAGCAAGTTTTTACGAATTATAAAATTTTCGACTGTACTACAACAAATTATAATCAAAACTTATCAGTGCTTTGCACTTCCAGCTTGTTTGCTTAGCAGCTTATTGCAAAGCACTATTTGCCTAAATTAAGGATACCTTAGTGGGAGACCTTTTAAGGGAAGCTGGCTTCCATTCATGTTACACATGGAGAAAACTCCTATGCAACTGCTAATTCAACAGCTACACATTTTCTGAAATGATGAAAATTTTATTAAACTGAAATGTAGTTTAGGAAACGTTGTTGCAAGTAAATTCACCCAAAGTTGATAAAAGTTATGGGATGTCTATTCCTTCTATGTCAACCATTAAAAAATGGGCAGTTGAATTTAAACATGGTCGTACACCCCTCAAAGATGACCCACGTGAAGGACGACCAAAAACTGCACCCACACCGGACCGGAAGCCATCGAAAAAGTGCGTGATATTGTGTTGAACGATAGGCAAGTGAAGGGGTGTCTGAGATAGCTGAAGCTGTGGTAATATTGAAAGAAAAGGTACAAAACAACTTGCATAAAGAATTAGGGATGGGAATCTCTGTGCAAGATGGGGGCCGCATTTGCTGAATGTAGATCAAAAGCAAACATTTTTCACAGCAATCTTTGGACCGATTCAAATGAGATCCTACCGATTTTGTACGGTGATTTGTCATCATGGATGAGACATGGATTCATCACTATGAAACAACAGTCCAAGAAGTGGGTGGAAGCCAGTGGTTCAGCGCCAAAGAAATCGAAGTCAATCACATCTGGTGGAAAGGTAATGGCCATTGTGTTTTGATATATGTGAAAGGAATTCTGTTACTTGATTACCTTGCAAAAGGGAGAACAATTACAGAACATTACTTCAACCTTCTTGACCAGCTGGATGCCAAAATTCACGGGAAGAGGCCTAACTTGAAGAAGAAAAAAAATCATCTTTCACAGGTGAAGAACTGTGCACAGGAGTGTGTTGGCGATGGGAAAACTGTGGGATTTGGGTTAAGATTTGCTCAGCCTTCCCTCCTATTCTCCTGATTTGGCACCCTCAGACTTCCATCTGTTCCTAAACTTGAACAAATTTGTTTCTGGGAAGTGCTTCACATCCAATGAAGAAGTTGAGAGGGTCGTAGATGAATATTTTCACAACCTTCCAGACTCTCACTTCTGAGAAGGAATACTGATAATGAAAAAACGCTGACCAAGTGTGTTAAATTCAAGGGAGATCAGATTATGTAGAAAAATAAAATCATTTTTAGATGAAAGTTGCAGTCTTTCATTGTCAGGCTGAGAATCTTTCACCTTACCATCACACTTCAACAACACAGGCCGAAAAAGAGGTTGGTCTATGTCCAGTGAGCCCGCCGGTAGCACTGCAAAGTGCAATTTGACTAACAAAAAGATCATGCTTTCTGGCAGGATTGCTGTGGTATCTGGAAGGTAAAAAGTATCAAACAGTACACAAAAAGTATCTGGAAAAAGGTAAAACCCTCAACAGTATGGTGTACAGCTAGACGCTATTCCATGTTGACACTGCTATCAAGAAAAAATGTTGAACTGAGTTCTGACACAAAAAGGTAACATTCCATCAAGATAATGCAAGACCACATGTGTCTGCATTCATCGGCTGGGCTGGACTCAGTACGGACTCGAATGGTACTTTTTTGCCACACCCACCATATAGCCCCAACATCGCTTCTTCAGACTAGCCATCTTTCTGGAACATTTGGATTTTCATTTTTTTCTTTACTGGGCTGCGGACCTTTTTCACACCTGCAGCTACATCTTGCTAGTGCTATTTTCCATTCTGAACAGGACATCTGAAATGAAGTTGATCTGTTTTTGGACTCAGGGCCACCAAGTTATAATGACCATATGTCTCCAAAGGGTGAACAGAACTGGCTCGGCCTTTTAACACCTGAATTTTCCAGTTATTCAAAGGAAGCAAAAACTGTTATAACTTTCAGTCCTTGATTATGGCTGCAATTCAATATATTTCAAGCTTTGCAACCATGATACTAAAATAAACCTTGTTGTCAATGCCCATGATAGTTCCTGGACTCACAACACAGTCTACCCTTCTTCAATGATGCTTAATGATACTGCATGTTCCAAGAAATGTAGACAAATGGTTCTCCATGACTGTATTGAAGTTGGTGGTATATATGGCAGCTTTCATTACTAAACATTATCTGTAAGAAGGTGAAATGTTAGACCTGCATGACAAACCCTTTTAGAACTTGGTAATAACATCACCTGTGCCATTGTTAAGATTATAGTCATAAAAATTACAATTTATCTGCAATTTTTATCCACATTTGTTCACTGCTTCATTTTGGTACTTAAGTATTAATGCCACCGCAGCAGAAGTTGCACTGATACGCCTATAAAGAGCAATCCTGTTGTTCACACGCAGTTAATCTTTTGGATTCCTTTTTGCCTTGTTGTTTGCTGATTTTTGATGCCATTTTTTTAGTGCTACGAAAATGTGTCTTGTAATTCGACAAACACAGAAGAAGATGCAATTTTATTTTTTCAGAAGCGAAATATTTTACAAAAAAAAAAAAAAAAAAAGTACCAATTTGCATGATATGAAGCTGTATTTTGGTAAACATATGTTTTGGAAATATAATTTAAGATAGGGTGATCAGCAAGAGGGACTTTGAAAAGACAACTGGTTTGAAGGAAGCATAATTGCATTTTGTTCAGCTTTGAGATTCATATACTGTTGATGTCGATTAAATTTTGTGAAAAGCAACTTGATTTATAGAATAAAACTGTTATAGATTGGAACAATTACATGCGTGAATTATGTGTCTTGGATATGGAGAATAAACCAAACAAGAAGTAGGTGGATCAGATTGCATCGTGGATGAAAGTTTTTTACTAAGCATAAAAATAATATTGTGGTCGAGTATTACCGAACAGCGGGTGTTTGGTGGTATATGTAGAGAAACAAAAGATTCATTTATTGTCACTGTTCCTAATAGAACTGGCTCTACCCTTCTTAATAACATTATTGAAAACTTTGCAGATGGCAGCACAATTTATTCTGACAGTTGGAAACGTTGCCAAACAAATAGAATAGAAAAAGAAGAATTCCTACATGCTAAAGTTAATCATAAATACAATTTTATTGATCCTGATACAGGAGTTCATACACAAATAATTGAGAGAATGTGGGGCAGTGCTAAATGGAAGAACAAGAGAGACATAGGGGACAGCGAGACCATTTAGAATCTAATTTAGCAGAGTTCATATGGCAACAGCATCAGGTCAAAGAGTATAGAGACTGTTTAACTGTTTTGAATCTATGTTAAACTCTATA